CAGAAATTAATAACATTTATATTTGTTTTTTATTTAATCAGTTTCCCCACTACTGTTACTATCTTTTCTGCTTATTTTTTTTTACTTTTCTTTGTTTTATTATTCTTATTTTTTTAAGGTATGTATTACCTCTAGTCTTATAGGGTTTTCTTTTCCTTATTTTTTTTTCATAACAACATAAACATAAACTAATACATTTTATTCTATTTACACTTTGTTTTTGTTTTATACTTATATATATTATTACATTTTTATATTTACAATTTTTACCTTATTACATACATATATTTACATTCGCTTCTTTCTTATTACAGATTTTGCAGGTTTTACAGTTTACTTAATCTAATATTACAGTATTTCATTTTGTACTTACAATTTTTAATCTTTATTTTTATTTACTTCTGTACAATCACATGCATGCTTTATAAATGTGTTTCTCTCCACATTGTTTTCCATAATTCTAGCCAAATTCTCTTTACTGAGGTTTGTATTTAGATGCATCTGTATAGTGTGTCTATCACAGTAAAAAATTGGGCATTCTAAGATGACGTGGAAGACGTCCTGTTTTACTTGGGGGTCGCACTCTGGGGTATCCCTACGTTTGTAATCATGGAGGTATGATCTAAAGCCTCCATGCCCCGTTAGAAGTTGTGCAGCCCATCTGTTAAGCTTCATCTTTCTTACTACGGCGAAGGCCCTCTCTCCTCTTGGGAAGAAGACCTTCGTTGTGGCCACAGCGGTTTCGCTTTTATAACGGCCGTCCCAATAGCGTATTACATTTTAATCCGAGAGCCGCTGCCTTCGCCAGTTCATCCGCTCTCTCGTTCCCGATCACGCCAAAATAGGGAGACTTTACGGCCGTACTCCCTAAGTTGAATCAAGTTGCCCTGAATCGCCTTCGTGATCGGGTGCGACGAGTCTTGGATCCTGAAACGATTGGAGAGTGGATCTCAAATCACTGAGTACCGCGACCTCCTACCATTCTTTGCTCATTACATGCTCGGTTACTTGGAGGATAGCATACAGCTCGGCTTGGAAGAGTGTACAATATGGTTCCAGCTTAAACTTTCGGGGCGCGATCTCAACAGCCCCTTACCAACAGGTCAAGGCTGCACCGACTTTTCCATCAAGCTTGCTACCATCAGTATAAATCTCCACAAGTCCTTCTGCTTGTTTGCTATCCTCTCCCGCACTCTCCAGATATTCAAATTTTATCATACTAATGCTGCTGGGGTGGTTCGATTCCAGTAGGGATATTCTCTCCTCTATTTTCCTGCCTCTTAGTATTGCATAGGATTTCCCGCGCTTAGCTTCATAAAGCTGGGATGCTTCTTAGACCCGAAGGTCCAGCGGAAGTTCCCCCGACAATACTAATGCGGAATTCAGAGATACTGTTCTGTATGTTCTTGCTATTTTTTGAGCGAACCCCTTTTGCACGGCATTTATCATTTTCATGTTTCTTATCTTGCATGCTTCTCTTCCCCATACACTAGCCGAATATAAAATTATTGGCTCGATCATGCCTACATATATCGTTCTAATCAATTCTGGATCGAACCCCCATGTGGTCCTAACTAACCTTGCCCTTTATAAATATTAATTGCTTTCTTACAAATGTACTTTATGTGATTATTAAATGTTAATTTGTTGTCGACAATAAGATTTTTATTTCTTTTTACATATCTATTTGCTCGCCTCCCATTGTTAGGCGGGACACATCATATTTTTTTTTTTTGTTATTAACATGGCTTTAGTTTTTTGTGCTACGAATTTTAACTTGTTAGATGTGCCCCATTCTCTCACTTCGGCGAGTGCTTTATTATCTTTTATTTTATGTCCCGGGAGTTCTTCGCCGACACTATCAATATGACGTCGTCTGCGAAGGCCTGGCAGTATACGCCTGTGTTTGTGAGGTTATTCAAAAGCGGTTAGAGTAAAATGTTCCAGAAAAGGGGTCCTCCGATGGACCTCTATACGCAGCCTTTGTTGGTATTGTTTGTGATGTCTTGACCCGCGTACCTCACGGTCACAGTTCTGTCCTTCAGGTAGCTGCTTACAAGTCTTCGCAGATTTTGTGGATAATTTTTGTTTTTTAGTTGGCAATTGATTTAAGGCCACCAAGCGTTGTCGAAAGCCCCCTCTATGTCCAGTGAGATTAGGGCAACAATCTCCTTCTTTTCCAGATTGCTCCTAATCCGCTGGATCATATCATACAGAGAATCCTCCGTACTCCGCTGGGGCACAAATCCATATTGTCTGGGGTTAAGTTTGGGTAGAGTATGCCATTTATATTAAAAACAGACAACATTTATAAACATTAACAGACAACAAACAACATTTATATTAAAAAACATCATAAAAACCGGCGAGTATGTATGAAAAGAGTAATCAAAGTGGATTAAGCGAAAGATGCATGTAAGGAGCGTACACTGTGGTGTTCAGATGGAATCGGAAAGACTGATGACTGAAAACGGAAGACTGATCAGACGGAATCACTATTAGAGGACGTAAAATTTCCAAATTGCGATATACAGATGTTACCACCCTCTTTGCAACAAGTATCAGTATATGGAAGACCTCTGCGGAATAGAACGGACTAACCTTGACTTCGACCTGAAAATAAATCAGAGAACAAATAGCCAAAATGCGAACTGCAACATTGTCCAATCATATGTTTATCTCGGTACACTCATAACAAACAATGATGGGTGCGCCGATGATATCAAGCATATGACTATTTCAAAGTCAGCCATATGTAGATAGAATTAAGATAATATGGGGAAACAGGAACATCACAAAAGCCACAAAAAAGAGACTCGTTCAGGCGTTATTATATCCTATATGTCTTTACGGTGCTGAGACATGGACACTAAGAGAGAGCGACAAGAAGATAGACGCTCTGAAAACGTGGTGCTGGAGGAGGATACCTGGGATATTATGGACTCAATTTGGAACTAAATATCCCTATATTGGAAGTACTTGGAGTCAATCAGCATCTTAATTCTATCGTACAGGGCCGCATTCACGCTTTTATACATCTGTGGAGCGTCTTGTGGTGCAGGGCAAAGTCAACGGCACGACAGCACGCGGCAGATCTCGCTTACGTTGAACCGACCAAATAAGAAGTGCCCTTAACTTAATATACGCCACGAATGCACAAGGAAGGCAGCCGAGCAGGAGGAATGGCGAAAGATTTTTGAGTGTGCCACCAACCCTGGTGTGACGACCACGACCACTCTGTCAAGAGTGTAGCGACATAGAAGGATTGAGTGTAACCACAGACATTGGTGCCAATTCTGTTGTACCACTATCTAAACTATGCTTACGAAAGAAATCCTATTAATATTATAAAGGCGAAAGTTTGTAAGTATGGATGTATGGATGTTTGTTACTCTTTCACGAAAAAACTACTGGACGGATTTGGATAAAACTTTACAGCAATATAGGTTATACATCAGAATAACACATAGGGTACTTTTTACTGGGAAAACTTCTCACTCCCACGGGATACCGACTTCCACGCGGACGAAGTCGCGGGCGTCCACTAGTATAATTATAATTATCGATTCAGACAAAAGATAATATGTTAATAATTGTTTTAAGTATTAAAAATATAGTTTATCAGGATAAAAACTAAAATTAGTCTGGTTAGTGCAACACAATGGTTCTGATCTAATAAGTATTTGCTATAAATGCAATTGTCCATTTCATTTACAAAAACAGACACAATAATATTTTTACAAATTATGTTTGTGATTGTAACGCAATATTATTAAAACTAATAAAAATTAATTATAAATACTGTTGTACTTATATCTAAATCAATGAGATATTAGTCTTTTTTTTATTTTCATGTGTTCCGAATACTAAATCTAACCTAATAAATATTAGTTCAGTAGATCAATTTCTTTGTATGGTAAGCGCGAAAGATATAAATGTTTAATTGAAAAGTAAAATACAGACATTAAATAAAAACATTAGCGGTATCTTTTGACAGGCAAAAGTAAATCATTACCAAATTAAATATTATAATATTTTTTTTAAAAACGATAATATTAATTTTCATTATATTTCCGCTTATTTGTACTTAATTCCAATCTTCTTAATATTATTATGTAAAATAAAAAAAAACTATCGAATATGTATCTATTAGTATTATTAAATTTTTGTATAAATATATTGCATAGCGCTATCCACCTCTTCGAAATGAAGTACAATTTTCAATCAAAAAATTTCACGTTGTTCTTTCTCAAACTACCTATGTCCAGTTTTCTATGGTTTTTTAAGAGCAGATTATTTTAGGTGAATGGAAAAAGATTTTTTGGTCTATGAAAGTAAAAATAAAATAAATTTTATTAAAATACGTTTATTGCAAGTCGTATTTGAATTGTACAATTGCTTTAACATTGATAAAAATACACTCTGAAGTAGCGAAAAAGTAACAAGTGTTCGAAAAATTTATCAGTCCTTTTAGGTCCTGGGTAGCTCAGTGGTAGCAGTCGCCTGGATTGCTAAATATCACGGTTCGAGTCCCATCTCAGAACGATAGGGACAAAGTGGATTTATAAAGCATTTTTCTTTAAAAATATTGTCCAATATTTTTTGTCCGTCAATTTTATTTCTGACAAGAAGATAACAGTTATGTTACCCAAATATGCCAGATAAGCCCATAGTTTACATTTTTATATTTCGTCTAGATTAGAGAAATGCTTTATGACTTCTAAAATATCACCCATTTAGACACAGTACTTAGATCGGCCAAGGAAATTGTCTAACGGGTTTGACAAAAGTTTCTGTGATATATTTTCTAACGGGGAGTTTAGATGCACAATTATTATCTATTATATGATATGTCAGAGATTTAAAGTAATGTTCCCATTGTATATATTGTTTTGCTGAATGAAGAATAGGATTTCATGTATCTTGAATATTCCATATCTTTTCTCGGAATGTCATTTGTTTTCGGGAAATTTTATATATAAAATAAAACAGATATAAACATTATAATTTCGTTTATTCGCTTTTTACGAGGATCCATCGTAAAAATAAATAACTTATCATAACAACAATCTTTTTAATAAATTAACACGTTCGTACATACAAAATGACTTAAATATTCATACACATATAATTGACTAAAATAATAAACAAAAATAATAAAACTGGATATAATCTTTGGAACTGAAAAACTTAAAAGATATTTAAAATCATAATGATAATAAATAAACTTACTTGAAGTATGATAATTCAGTATAAACATACATAAAACATTTATATACATAAAGTACACAAATAGATAATAAAAAATTAAATATCAGTCTGCAAACTTAAATATTACTAAAAATAAAATAAAATACTGCAAAAATATAAAACATTCAGAAGACATACGACTCACACTCATCCATGAATACTATGTCATTAATGATACGGTGGTTAAATAAATAAATAAAATTGGAATCGCCCTTGTCGTCTTTACGAATGAAAGTCTTTTAAGGGACTACTAAAATGATGAATGACAGCAAAATGATTAGATATAGTTCACTAGATGATTTAAATTAGTCCTGTTTAGCATGACCGGAATATGCGAGAGACTGACCCTCTTGGGATCTGCCCCAACCGCCACCGCCGCCGCTTTCCCAACCGTGTTCCTCATGAGCAGGCTCAGCCCATCCACCGCCGCTGTTCTTCTTAGAATCCAGGAGTTTCTTCAGAGCTCCGAAGGCGGCAGCGATGAAGGCAATCTTACCCAGCAAGTAAGCCTTGAAAACAGCGAAGGCAATGATGCCTAAGAATAGTGGGATAAGAGCAGCAAACTTGAGCTTCAAAAGTGCGAGGATGGGCAGGAGTTTTTTAAGCTTCTTCTTCTTTTTGCCACGGCCTGAAAATAATGAAACGCTATTGTTAAAAATCTTCATATTTTAACCCCTTAGAACGTATTGCAGATGAAACACAGATCTTTTACTTTTATACCACTTTACTTTTATTTACTTGATAATCGATTCACTATTTAGAGATAGAGACACGCAAAGAATTTGTCGACCTTAAAATCACGTTCTCATAACAGTAATACAGCAGTATAAACTGAGCAGATAGAACTCTTGCTAAAGAATTCTACCTAAGATCATGCTTCTTCTGAAATCTAAATGTTCATTTGAAATAATAACTCAGCATTATCATTATTAGCCTATTATTGTCCCTAAGGGCATGGGTTTCCTCTACGGATGTAATCAAATCGGTTGAAAATTCTGATTTCTCCACTATCAGAAAAGATCAAAGATCGAACGAACACGTTAAATTGTAAGTATGTTCCGACTTTAAACTTCTGATTATTAAGTTAGTTGAAAACTATTGTTATCAGCAATAATGTAAGCAAACATCAAACAAAGAAATTGCAAGCCTCAGAATAAGTAACTTAAACAAATGCAAACATCCAAACAAAGACGTGACTAAAGGACACAAAAAAGTGAAATGAGTCAAAGGTATGTTTTAAGAGAAATCTGTGAAAGCGAAAAGACATGTAAATCACGTCATAAAAGTTACGCCAAAATAAAGTAAGAGCCATCGATTTCCATATTTTGTGAATATTAACATACGACTATCCGAAGAACTAATTTAGTTCGATAGGACTAAATAAGAAAAAATATTAAGCATATTAATGAGATATGATAAAAGTCCAAGTGTAGTGTAGTTTAGTGTAAGTATAGAGAAAATCAAAAATAAGTTAAAAGTAATTTAAGTAAATATGAAACAAACTTGTATTAAAGATTCAATGAATACTGATTTATAACTTCTTGGTGTTTCCTAACTCGAACAAATTTCGAATCAGACACATTATTGGAATAAATTGAAATGAAATTTTTATAAAAATCATTTGCTCTATAACAATTGATTGCATCGTTCGTTGTTAATTGACCAAAGAAACGCCAGACAATACAACTGACAATTTAAAAATTTCGAATATGGGATGAGAATTGCAAACAATATATGTCTCTCGAGCGGTAAATAACAAAAGACGGTAGAACGGGTTTTATGAGAGTTTAAGCCGCCACTTTATGGGAAAGAAATTAAAACTTTGATTGAGCATGGTACTCATGCATGATGTTGACGATAACATCTTTCCTTCCTTGCCTTTTTAGAAAACCTTATTATCAATTTCTAAGACCTTTTATGGTTACTTTTTAATTTGAATTTGAAGATCTGAATATGTTCCTGCTGTTTTATGTTTAACCTGATACTAAATAATTGCATTAAGTTATAATTCTGTCTCTTTCTTTTAAACATAATATATTTCTCAAAAATAAAAGGAAGACTAAAAGCAAAACTTAAAGCTTGCTTTCCTATCGAAAATATTATGAACGCTATTATGAACTATTTTAGTGGCAAGGTTTTTCATCTCGATATCGAAATGGCCAGTTTCTAATTAACTATCAACAAACTGTGTTATAGTTTACAAACCCTTTCATTTTATAGTTTCTATTATTTGTTTTTAGTGTAAAAGTACAGAGAATTGATTTATCATAGAATTCATTGTTCATATATTGAACAAAAAGTTGATTATCTAAAACTTTAATGATAACCAAGATCAATCTACTTATTGCATAAATTATAGCTACATTAAAAATTATAACTTTAAATCTATTTCTCCTGTTGTTGACCATTAGAGACCATTTTTAACAATGACTTTTAATATCAGCGGTTAGAACACTCATAGGATTTTCTCTTTGTGGTACGTAGCTATATTTCTTAAGCGATTTGCATTATATAAAGCGTTCTTATCATTTTCTTTATTATATTCGCTTAAATTTATAAAAATGTAGACTTGCCACTTTCTAACTTAAACTTTCAGCCTTTATTGCTTAGTGATGCTTACTTTTATTATTTTACACAGTTAAAATCAAGCTTATTCTTTTACACATTTTAATTTCATGATGTCAATTTTTAAGCTAAACTAATATTATAAAGAGTTAAGAGTTAATATTATAAATATTAGAAAGATTGATTGGCATCGATTAAGTTTTAAAACAACTGCACCTATTTTGAAAATTCTTTCACCTATAGTAAGCTATAATTTGTAAAAGTCCATAGAAAATAGCTACTAGGAAATAAAATATTTAAAGATAATAATGAGTATTTAGATAATACATATTTATTACGCTCGTTTTTCTCCACGCCTAAAAAGTTCTGGAGATAAAGAAAGAAGTATATTCAAAAAATTATATTTATGATACCAATTTTTAGAAGTTTGACTTTAAAAATTTGTTTTATTAAATGATTGAAGGTTCTTAAAAATTCTTTATAAGGTTAATGTTACAATAAAACATTCATTATTATAGACGTTAGCACGTGTTCGTGTGTAACAGACTTTAACTATCACTTCACAGGTCGTGTGAACAAGATTACTCGACTCACCGTTATAGTAACAATAAAACTTAGTTTTTTTTAGTTGTTTGTTTAAGATATCTTTGTTGCTCGTCTAATCATTAACCGGTTAATCGAGTTCATAATGTTGTTAAATATTTATCAAGATTATTTTATAATACTTCAACTTTTTTATGATGCTGCGCTCATTAATTTTATATGATTTGGAAATTTTATTTAAAACTAGCTGTGCTTTCCACGGTTTCACCTACCGTGCTCTATTAAGGGTCATAGGTATATTAAAATAGCTTATAACCTTATTTGAGATTTAGAAAGTTTGGTTTAGAAAATTTGATTTAGACATTTCCGGATATCGATGCCTTATCGCAGACAACTTCATCTAATATTATTACAGATCATTAGAACACAATATCTACATTTAACGAACCATTACAAGATATAATTTATTTACTTGATTGACTAACAGCTCTTGGTGATCCCGGGATTAAAAACGAACATCATCAATTATGTTGTCAATATTATTACATATGGAATTGTATTCATTATTATGGTGTGATAAAAATTTGTCACCATCACCGAAATGGTATCAACAAATAAATGGGTAACAGATTTCCGTTATACTACGAATATATCGATAAATTAAAGCTTCATTATTATACTGACTTCTCTGACATATTTTTATTTAATATTTATTAAAAAAATATATGTTAGATTTATATAATTTTTTGAAATTATATTTAACTCATAAACTCGTAGATTGGTTTAGAAATTAACATGAACATTCTTGACCCAGAATAATATTTGGTTTTCGAAGTCGAGCTGCGTGTCCTATTTATTCAATTTACATAATTGGTTTTAGATATTTATTAATAATTTTCATGGAAATTTAATACTATAATACATAAATTATGTTTGAACTACAATATTTAAGTACCTAAGTTTTACATACGTTTAACATATAATACGCACCTTCTTCATCGGTGACAGAGTTGTCGTCTTCAAAGGACTTCGGCATTCTCAGTTGAAGGACGTGGTTATCCAAGAAATCGACCACATTATCCAAGATCCTTTCCTCCACCTGCAGTTCTCTCGCCTTAGGGTCATCAGGAAGTGGTTCGTATGAACGAGCTGATCGTGGACTGCCTGTTCTTGAGAAGGAAATACCATCGACGATATTCAACTCCTTTGACGTTGCTAGATTTTCTGTATACTTCATCGCCTTTTCCTGCAGAGGAAATATGTGGGTTACTCAATTATTCAATGTTAAAAAAAGAAAAGGGTTCATAAAAAGGAAACGTATAACATTAATTATGGCATGTAAGTGTTTAAACTTAATGATATCATCGACAGTCAATTAAAAAAAGAATAAGAATATTTGTAACACTGCATAGGTATTTAAAAAAATATATTAAATCTGTTGTTGTTGTATTATCTGGACCTACCACAATTATTTATTCAATATAATATATAACTCCAAAACTAAAAGCCTAACGTAATATCGGGTCAAGATTGACAAATAACTTAAATAGCCATAATAACCGCCTCGTTATAATAAACGACTTGCCAGACAGACAAGCTAACCGTTTTATTAAAGCATTCCGCATTTGAACAGGTGATGACACATTTTAAAACAGCTCAGGAATCGAACCTGGAGTTTCCAAATTTATGATATATCTAATTTTTTTTTCATTAAAATCACTCCTTATATCAATTACTAAAAGTCCCGGTAACACCAATCACATCACTAAAAACACAGCACTTCACTGCACACCTTTAGGCACATCAAGGTATCCGTTTCCACACAATCCCGGAGGGTCGATATGAACTTCTCCATTTCTCCATCCTCTTTGGAGGTGGGCATGGCTGCAGCAGCCGCCACCAGGCACAGTACCACGAACACTTTCATCTTCGATAACTAAAGACCAATTGTTGCTGACGCCTGTAAGCCGTTGAGTTTTATTTTGAGTCCCCCCCTCTCAATTTTCATATGTCACGCCTGTGCCGCACGTTCGTCAATATGTGACGAAATAGCAAACACTCGAGCTTAAAGCCTATCGTCAACGATATTAACACGCGTTCGCGACTTTTTTATGGTAATAAAGTATGTTAAGACGACACCATAAGGAGGTCGGTGAATTTTTGAAATTTTTGACGTGCCCGTAGAATTTTTTCGTACATCGGATTCCTTTTTGATAAAGTCGTTCTTAAGAGGAGGTCGATTTGAATTATCGTTACGGAAACGAGAATATTTTCACATATTTGGATTTCTTTTGAACTGGAAACTAAAGGGCACTTGGTTGAGTGGGTGGTTCGATTTCCGAGAAATAAGAAACAAAAGGTCGTAATAGATACCTGTGTTTTATATTTATAGCATTTAAAAGTTCTATAAAACTTATAATAGAAACTGTTTATTATTTGATAATTTCCTATGGTGATCTATATCAAAATGATGTAGTTTTATACGATGACGCATCACTTACACCGTTTGCAATTTCTTACGTGACTAATGTGTATACTTGCAGTTTATAACAGAAAATGGTAGATATCTCTTAGAAACTCGTTCAGTGCTTAAAATGTTTATAGCAAACTTAGAATAAATTAGGTACTTCTGAGACATATTTACAATTTTAACGTAGTAATATCATTCTGGAGATAATGTTAAAAAGGATTATTGAAAGCGCTTTCTAAAATAATTTTTTTAAAACATTGATTCAAGTACAAACAACCAATTTTCTATACATTTTATTGACCATTTGTATTCCGTTATTTTGTTTATTTGAAAACGCCACGGCTAGCGAAAGTGCCTGTAGTAAAATAGTGTATCTCCATAGAATGTAAACTGCTGAATTATTGACATATTACCGTCTCGGAACTACGAGGAGAGACTGTGACGTACAACCTTTTGTTACATTCTGTTATATAATTTTTGAGTTTCTTTGATTATATGAATTATTTATTTTACAGATGAGGATGTTACGCAATAATTGTCATGTAAAGTCCCTTGAGTCATGAATAATTCAAATATTTGTTCCGTATTAGGTGTTTGGAGTGTTTTTGTTTGAGGAAGAGTTTTGTGTAGGTGGTAGTTTTTAGAATCGAGAAAGTGATGGTAGATAAGTACTTCAGTTACATAGAAATAATTTTCGAAAAAAATATATATGAGTTCACTAAATGGAGCCAAGGATGCTGTTAAAAGTATATATATACCTATAGAACTTGTGCGTAGACGTAATTAATGTTTGTATTTGTTTACAGCAATATTAAAATTATAACATAATTGTGACCCTAAAAACTGTCCTCAAAGTTTAAACTATGAAAAGTTGAAACAATAATCTTTTGTTTCTAACCAAAAAGCCTTGACAATCAATAAATCAATGATGCTTGTCCTCTTAAGATATAATACGGCGTAATGACACCATACAACACTAAACAATGATATTTAAATCGGAGAGAGTGCATTGCACATATTCATTCGGTTTGACAGGAAAGTGTTAGGATAATATAGCTCTTAATACTTAAGTAAGAAGGTTATAAATTGAGAAAGAGCATATTCTGTATAGTTTTCTAGATAAAGTTGGTTGCAACTGTTCTCCGGGAGAACAGTTGCACCATATGAATGGTAAATACGAAGGGAAATTTTCTCGGGTAACTTTAATGATTTATGAGATGTAGTTGGTATTTCCTTAACTGGTGTGCTTAACATTTTCTAAGACTCCTTTGTGTTAATTTTGGCGGTGAATGTTGCATGAAAACAAACTGCTTTGCATGTAATCATCGCTGTATGATATAAGCTTAACTAAATTCTAAAAGGAGTAGTTCTCGATTCAATCAAAAGCTATTTTATTTGATGTCATAGCTGTAACCTCAAAGCAGGTATGTTTCCCTGGCTACGTTTGACATTTTTCTGATGTAAAACTATGGTACCAAACGTGATATCTGAGTCTAAATGTGGTAATAAATAAATAATCAGCAGAAAAAATACCTCGTAGGTCAGACATTAGGAACAGCTACCTCTCATTACAAAATCTATGAAAGCAATAATCCACAAGATGAAATTTAATTTGATATACATTTTTTATGCTAAAATCCAAAATGCTATAGATACCCAAAATAAAGAAACTCAAGGCACACCAAGATTCGATGGTGAATAATAACACAATCGACAAAAACCTTGTTTTGGCTTAGGATTATCTGTACTTACATATATATTTAACAACACAATAAATACTGAAATGAATCCCGAGCATTGAACAAAGTCTAACATTATTTTTGTAATTGGTAAACACTGCCCTATCAGCGTCATATCTTATATATATAAACAAACTGCTAACATTCTAAATTTCAGGTCAAGTAATATTCCAATGACTATAGATTTATGTAAGAAACATCACTTTTAAGCTCGCAAAAACCTTCGAATGATAGCTGACATTATTGAAAATAGCCTATTGATTGCCCCGAGCTTCTCTTAATGCTTTAACGTTCGAAGAAAAATCCATCATTCTTTTAAGCCAATAAATAGTCCTGAATCAAACACCAATTATAGAAACAATACTTTTTGACTCCACGTAGGCAAGTGCTTCAACAGTTTGAGTCTGATAAAACTGATACGGATTTATTCAGTTCAAGTTGTAACTCGGCAAGACGACTTATTGTAAAATTACTCACTTAACCGAAAGGATTTTTATTGCTTTTTCTATTATTACATAATTTGTAAGCACTATTCTAATATTATCTTCTAATGACTATTGATCAACCTATGAAAATAAAAATAGACGGATCGAAAGAACACGAAACGTACAACAGCCCATCGAGCAAGCAGGTTTTCGTACAGACTCAGTGATCGGCCGCATTCACGTAGTGTGTCAAATTTTAGAGTACGTAACAAGTACACGCTTACGACTATATTGGATTTGTCGATTACATCAAAGCATCCCATATAGACCAGAATAAAGACTTTATCTACTTATCTTGGAATCTGAGCAATAAATGTGGTGTTATCTAATCTAATCATATATTCAAAAAACCGAAGTAAAAATACACCGTAGGCTTTATAGAATAGTTTACTTCCTTCGTTGAGGGAACAGCGTGACGGGCTAGCTACAAGATAACAAACGTTGAAGAAAAAACGAGTTTATACATTTTCCTTGCGCTACGCCATCTAGTTTATATACGATGAACTACTAATCAACCATGTTCGGACATACGCGCAACTTATATACGAAAATAAAAATACTAGGTATATTCAAACATGTAATCAACAAATATAATATCTTTTGTCGAACCAGAAAATAACAAATTAAATTTTATATCAATAAAGACATCTAGCTGTATATAGTAGAACTTTTTCCTCAAGGCCAATGAAGCAACTATCCAAGCATAATATGAGCTTGTAAGTACAGCCACCGCAAAGCACTGTTTGCCATTAATTTATTATATTGCCATTTTGACTACATTCTTTCTTACAAATGTAATTTTGTTGCTTTTTGTAGTTTAAGCTAAAAACTACAAATAATTCTGTTGCACGAACTAAACTATTAGTTTTCATTTTGTTAACCTGCTTTTTTTTTAATTTTGAAAGGAAAGGTAGCAGACATTAAGTTTACATTTGTTATCCAGAGTTTAATCACATTTTTTTAATTATTATATTTCACTATGCAATAATGTTAAAACAAACCTAAATTAAAATTTGTATATAAATATATAATATGTAATTTGCTTTTCAATGTCAGTACCTTATGTTATGCAATTGGATTAAAAAAAATTTAAAAGTTGTTTTGTTTAATTTCATTTGATATCTATGATATGTAAAAAATACTTATAAACTGACTTGTCTTACAGTCAGTTGCACAAACGTCGATTAAAATTATTATTTTTGTAGGCTGGTACTTTATTCAAATTATCTCTAACCAAGTATAAAGTATATATTAATCGATAGAGGGTAAATAAATCGTACTCATCATCATTTTGTTTTTATTTTAAGACGCCACCATCTGATTTGAACATTATTTAGTTGATATTTTAAAATTTATGTAGCAACACTTAAGTGCATTAAGAAAAAATATGGCAACCCCATCCCTAAGTTACGTTCTAATTTATGCTGTGAATCAATCTATTTGGACAATGTGGAAATAATATTTTTATTTGCTAACATTTTAAATAAATCGAAGCTCGTCTACGCAGGTTAGGCCCGGTTTGAGTCTATTCAGTGCGTGGCTTATTATAATAAACATATAGTAAACAAATTATGAATTCGATTTTCACAATATTGCTTGCTATATGATTCGTGTTCTAGGGACGCTAAGTTATTATAAGGTGCTTTGGGGTAATACACAAAACAGGCAGATTCTGGATGCCTGAAAGTGACGAATTAACAACAAATCAGGCATTTTGTGTCAGTAAAGTTGACTATTAAACAGGTTTTTACTGGATAAAAAACTTTCAATTACAACAAACATATTGCTTTTTATTCTTAATACAAAATCATAACAATGCTTTTGGCTGTTATTATTTCTTATAACAGCCAAAAGCATTGTTATTGATTTTAGATTTTAGTCAACAGCGTAGCAGTCGAAATCTGACTTACTTGTTATTACGGGTTCTTGTATGAGGCCTCTTTTGCCTAGGTCTTATTATCAATATACACCTACTTTTATATGATAGTTATTATTTGTTGTAAAGTACTATGCAGTCTCTAGGTGCGGCATGCACCTCAGCCTAGAAAATGAAATTGTTTATTCCACGAAGTACGTGATATATCAAAAATTGTTTTATGAATACGGACCTTAGTTAGACGTGATATGACCATGATATAATCACTGTATATATTGCCCGCTAAAGGCTATGAAGGCCATAATCAGAATTATTTCACTTTGAAAAACCTTAGCAGTAGTATATCCAAAAAATGTACGAGTATGTACTTCAATATATCCCTTGTATCGTTTTAACATAATTAGCGACTCTTAATATAATTTACAAAATAAAACCCAATTTTTAACATTCAGTTCTTTATTTGTACGATTGATTTTGTTTAAAAAAAATACATACTTATAAAATTATAAAAATAACGTAAGATTGAGGAGTTATTATACCCAAATAAATACATATAAAACTTAGTACTCTTAACATTTTACATGCATACAAACGTACATACATATATATATTTAGACAAATTATAATAAATATATAAATACGAGTGAAAAAATAACATGCTTATAATGTTAATTAATATACTTAAATAAAAATATCACAATTAATTCTTAAATCATATTAATAATGAAATAAATCAAATAAAAAAGGTTAAAGCTTTTCCGATAAGTATAAAAGACTTAAAATAATGGGACTAGATAGTACAAAATAAAATCAAGAAGTAAATACACTACATCTCGAATAAATAAAAATTGTATGGAATACATACACAAATACGGATACCGTATGGGGTGTGAAATAAAATACTAATATAGTACAACACAATGGAAGGATCATACAAACTTAGAACAGTATTTTTTAAAAACAACAACAAATATTCCCGCTGATCTTTCATCCCTTACAAAGAGACGTCGTTCGTTAAACATTAAATTAAAAATAAATAGTCTTAAACCTATCAAATAAATACAGTATACACTTGTAATTGACAACTGCCGCGATTCTATTTTTACATTATTTATAGTGGAACTAGAATGCTACCCTGAGGGATCTTATAGACTTAATCAGTCTTAATATGAGCAGCGTACGCTAAATTTTGAGCATCATCAATTGATCTGCCCCAGCCATGTCCACTGCTAGCGTAGTGTTCCTCGTGGTGAGGATGAGCGACTACCTCGTAGCTAGTCTCATGGTGTTTACTCGCTAGGAGTTTCTTCAAGGCAATGATACCAGCGACCAGAAGGGAAACCTTGGCAAGGAGCAGGGCTTTAGCAGCAGCGAAGGCGATGATACCCAAGAACAGAGGGATAAGGGCAGTGATCTTCAATTTAGCGAGTGCCAGAAGAGGGAGGAGCTGCTTAATCTTCTTTTTCTTACCACGAGCTGTAATATAAACAAGAAATATCGGTTAGTCTGTTTAAAAAAATAAAAATAAAAAAATTTCAACCAAGTTTTTTTCGATGAAGTAAACTATTATGTGTTTGTGACAACAAAAGATCAATGTCATCATGATCGTCATCGAAATATGTTACTAAGACGTCAATAAAGTTTTTCCAGTTATTTGGATATTGAAATAAAACTACTAATCAATTCTCACTGAAATATAAATTAGATCACATAAAATAATTATTTTTGAAGTCTGATGAAATAGGCAATAATTGACTCAGTATTTCTCCTTAAAATTTCTAAAACTGTAGCGTCTAAAATTTTCATAGGTAAAGATATTGATCTTTACCTATAGAATACAGGAAATCCTATATGAAGGCTATGGTTTTTTGTTCAATATAATATTTTCAGTACAAAGCTTCACATAAACTTATAATCAGTTTTTTTAGTAATGAGTTAGTGTCGGAATTGGGTGCATTAGTTTTATCATTGATAATTTTATGAGTTTAAGTTTACTACGTAAGTTTACCGAATATCTATGGAACACTCTGTGCACGATCTTTGTTTTGATTAATTTTCTAAACCCAAAGATTTTTAACATGATTCTCCTATCCCCAATTCTTAATCAGTCTACTATAAGGTAAGCTTTATGTTATTTATGAACCATAACAAATAGATATACAGTAGATACAAGAAATTTCGTAGCATCTGTCTTTTTTAAACAATATAGGTAATTTTTAACGTATTAGCAATGGTTTTACATGACAATCAAAACCGCAATCGAAATACATTTTAAGTAAAATTAAAAATTATTCGCTGCTATGAGATATCTTTTCGTAGTTTTTGTTTTGTTTAACTGATTAATCTCGCTTTATCACTAGGTCCATTCAAGCAAGTACAATTACCTACTTACGCTTGTAACCGAGAAATGATCTCGCGTGATTTTTAATTGTGCAGAAGTTTTTTTTGTCGATATTTGTACAGTTTCTGGTTGAAAAACGAGGTGCTCCTGTATTATTAGAACCCGTTTGATTCACTAACCGTGCACAGTTATTGTAGTGCCCGATGTTATCATGACGTTAAGCATGATCTAGTAAACATATTATATTATATATATAATTTCAATCAATTCGCTGTTTGAAAAATATGTTTAGGTATAATTAGTAGCTCTTATTCATTGAAAATCAAAATTAATTCTCAGAATAGGCTATGATATCAATCAATTGGACATCCCATTTCCGGAGAGAAAAGTGTAAGTTTCTAAAATAATGGTAATAGTAAGAAATTTATTAAAGTACCTAAAATGTTATAGTTAAATTGAGATCAATATTTCCGAATCGTTAGACTATCTTCGTTATACATGAAAACATTATCAATATCGCAATACATATTGTAATTGAGAAAAGAATAAGATATTTTTAAATTATTCACTAACCTAATTCAAAAGAAAAATGGAACAGTCGCATGTAGAGAAAGAACTAACGTTAAAATGAAACTTGAGCGACTCGGTCACATGATATCCCCGTAGGAAAGTGTCAAGAATATAAAATTATTCGTGAACATGTTCTGCATTTAAAGATATAATGCTGATATTGTAAGCAATGAGGTTGTTTCTTTTATATAAACTATTTTAAGATGATGATTAAGCTTCTCTGTGGAAAGTTTATTGTCATTGTGTTTACTTTAAATGCAACTATGCGTCATCCTAGCGCATATCGGCGGTCATTGACATTGTAAGAAAAATCGAAGACGAAATCAGCTCTTTATAGTTTGATTGGAAAGGTAATTCAACTTTCTTTAAAGAAGATGCTTGAGAGTGTCTTGTTAGGGTTCGATTTCACGACTGGCTCGGACATAGCATAACTGGTTTCTGGAAAGTTCACCCGGCGCAGAAGGACCTTACAAAACTTGTCTAATGGCCATACCAGGAATGTAAGTGCCACTTTCTTGACCCAGTAGCGAGTGTTGTCTGATAATTATATACGTTTATATGCGTACGACGCACTGTAAGGAAATGAATGTAATTACTCGTGGTTGAGTTTATGATAACAAAGTAAATGACACTAATATTTTGATTACTATTATTCTGATACTAGTATTCTGATGATTATGAGTGAAAAAGCTTGATTGATAACTTTTATTATAGAAAAATATTTTGTTTTTGCATAAAATTTACATATCAGTTGATTTTAACGTTAAAATAAGACATATTTGAATTAGCTGCTTATTAAAACTTATAGCCAACAAGCACGTTAGGTTATATGCCTGGTTTTTTTTTTTTCATTTGATGCATTAAATGTTTTATAATGGAAAACGAATTCAAAAACAACATTGTTAAACTATGTATATTTCAACAAAGAAACCATTTAAAATGTCATAAAATTCATGTCACGTTTACAACTCGGAAGCAAGTATTAAAATAGATTGAGTTCAATTACAAAGAAGCTAGTTAAGTAGCAGGTTGAGTTAAATAATTGCCGTTGTAACAAGTTTACGGTGAAACAAGTTCATAAGTAGAATACTTGTAAATTTTATGAGGTGATGAGGTTTTCACTTGTAGCACTTAACGTTTACTTGATAATCTTGTTAAAGATTTATTTTAACTTACTGGCGGTTAGACGCACAAACGTTCATTAAGATAAAATGACGTTTTTAAGCTCTAATGAATCAAATTTGTATCGGTTATGTTGCTTTAAACTAATTACAATTTTAATGGACCTTTGTACAACTGTCTGAATTATCATAAAATCTGTTAATATCAGTGAAAAAATAACAACTTTGTTAAAATTTTAAATAATTCAATTAATTGAATAAGATTTGCAATCGGCGGAAACAAAGCGACGAAAGCTGTTCTTATCAATTCATTAAATAATGTAATATAATGTAATGAAAGATATTACTTTCAACTTGTTAAAGTTACTTGAAGTTTTCAATTTAATATTTATATGACGTTTTTCGACATTCTCATTCAAACGAACAAAATTAATAAATGCAAATTAAAGCAGCCTCAGTCAATATTATTAATAAAATATATTAATGATATTTGAATTAGTTAAAGTTTGGTCTGTCATATAAAAGTAAAAGTGTACGTTATAAATGATAAAAGACCACCAATTTTATATTACGAGTCAAATTATCTTAAAGCCACAAATTAACGATTTGCTCCATTTGCTCAGACAATATTGTTTTATAAATGAGCTTCAACTCTGTATTATTTGCTTTCTTTTCGATAACGATTTGAACAAATTTGTTATAATATCTGCACTTGTGACTGTATGTATTCCGTTTAATTTAAAAGCAGCTCACTATAAAATTTGTAATTAATTATGAAAATATTAATATATATAATATTAATCTCCCTTTATCTCATATTAAACTTTTTTGCGAATTTGAATATGAGTTTTTACTAATTGATTAATCCAGTTTCATTAAATTTTACTGTAACGCTATTACTGTAATTAAGATCAGTGACAAAAACATTAAATTAAAGGTCTGCTAAGTGGAAATGTATATAATAATAAAAATATATATTCACCTTCTTCGAGTGACCTCTTCATGCCCTCAACTGCAGACGACGGCAACCTGAACTGGATGACATGATTCTCCAAGAAGTCTGCAGCTGTGTCTACTAGTCGTGACTCCACCTGCGCCTCCCTAGCCTTAGGCTCTTCCGACAAAGGCTCCAAGGCTCTCGCGGACCTTGGAGACCCAGTGCCGATAAGTGTAACCCCATCAGCCAAGTTCATCTCCCTCGACGACGCAATGCTTTCGGCGTACTTCAATGCTTTCTCCTGCAATCAAAATATATAGACTTAGATCACATTCATAGTCACAAACACTGGTTTTGATCACGTCACTTCACAATTCCCACCTTCAAACATAAGGAAACGTCCCCATCCACGCACTCTTTGACGACCCCAATCACTGAACCCACTAATCCAGGATCGTTTGCTTCTTTGTCGACAGCAGGCATAGCCTGCGCCGCCGCAAGCAAAAATAGGGTAGCAACGTAACGCCTCATATCGTCTGTCTAACTACCCCTAAGAAAGCTTAACACAAAATGTAGCGACGCTGTATAAGACGGGCTATTTTAAGCCTCCCACCCCACTACCGCGCGGCGAAGAAAAGCGAGCCCGAAAACGACCGATTAAACTGGTACCAACAAAATTATATTATCATAATGAGAGTAGTTGCGTGTACGCAAGTTTTTCGGGGTTCATTCACACTATCGTCAGTGTTTCATGTGCGTGTGCAGATGTGTGCGTAGTAGCAGATCAATGGTTGGTCGGAAGTCGCATCGCGGGCTGCGTGTTGCGTAATTCAACGGTGCGAATACGTTAGAAGTTATAATCTGAATTGGAAACCTCGTTTTTATTTGAAATAAATATATTCAGATTTCTCTTTTTTTATTATTACGTAACAAGCTTTTTATTGTAATACAATAATGGCTTTATAAGTTGAATAAACATATCTGATTTAGACCTATTAGTAACAAGCAGTTTATTCATATGCTTATTCACATAAGTGAAAGAATTTTCAAAATCTGTCCAGTATTTTCGGATCCAATCAATCGAAACTCAATAATATTGTTTAGTTTAAGGAAGAAAATAAAGTTAATAGTATTATAATTACACAAACATACATGAAACAATTTTATTACTAAGCTTTAAGTGCTCTTTTAACTAATAAAATATTGTGTGATTAAGGAATAAAAGTTGAGAAAAAATTAAGGATACAAATGAAATTGTTGCAACTTTTTTTTAATATAAATATGGTGAAAAGATCATAAAGACTGATTCGTCATATGACGACATTCCATTCGTCCAAATATTCCTAGTGTAACTGTACGAATATTGCATTAAGAGTTTGGTGAACTTAAAGGATGTAAGGAAGTCAACAAAACAAAGTCTTTACTGACAATTTTGATAGAATATGCACATCAAATACTTTGTCCATAAGAATTATGTTTAGTATCAAATCAAAAAATGCTATCTGTAATATTTTATCTTGCACTTTGGTTTTTAAAATAATAAAATAAAGACGTAAAAGTCCTCTAGTTGTAAAGTCTATTTGATATATGAATTAAAATATTGATCTAGATAATACAAAAAAACCAGAAAGGCGACATCTTTCTTATAAGCAAAGCTTACCATACTTTGAGATTACAATTTGAATCTCACATTAGGTTGTCTATTGTAAGTTGATCCACATATTTTCCAGACGTCTGAATCTTGAATTTTCGGTGTAAAAATGTAATATTTCATAAGAATTGTTAAATTTGTCTAAACAAAATTGATTACGGATATTTAAATATTCAATTATGATTTATTGCACAATTAAATATTCGACATGTTTTAATTAATAACTTAATAGAAATTAAATGATTTTTAATTCAGAGGTTTTAAAGATTTTATGAATTCCCGTAAATAACTATGATAAACCCATTTGTAGTGTATAGAAATTGACAAAAATTGACAAAAATTGACAAGTATCCCTTTTAGAGTTTCCCCAATACTACTAAATTAGATTATTTACGCTTTAAACATATTAATAAGCTATGAAATTTAAACCTACGCTAATTAGAACTTTTAATTATGGTTTATTATTATTGAGAGTACATGCCATTTCCTTGATGTTAAATAAATCGATTGTTACGTATCTGTAGTTATGAAAAGAAAACTTTTTAATTTGTTAACCAACTATTTTCATGGCAAAAATATTCAATAGTTTAAAATAAAAAAAAAACTATTGTAACTGGTGACGAGTTCTAGTTGCGTAGCTTTTCTTTACTGAGTCCCAATCACATTGTAAACAGTGAGAAGATGTAAAGAGAATAAACGACAAATTTAAAGTTATTTCCCATAGCAAAACAATGGTCAATAATCACCAGCTTATGGCTACCTTTGTATTGTTTATCCCTTGAAATTACTTGCATTAGAAATCTTAAAGTTTATACTTATCATTACGGTACAATTTAAATTCTGAATATATTTTTTAAACGATAATATCCAATATACATATCGTTGCAGATGATAAATTTATCAAATAAAATAACGATTGCATTATTTTAAAATAATAAGTACTATAAAAATGGCTAAGCTACGTATAAATAATGCATTCCACATTCCATCATACTGACTTCTATTTGAACACCAACAAATAAACCAGGCTAAGATTTACTTTCTTAAAAAAACAACCAACAGCATGCTCTGGCTGACATAACAACTTTTTTGAAGGCCTTCTTTCTTTTATTCGTGTTTTCCTTTTTCAAACGTCATTACCACGCTGTCTATTTCTTTTTCTACTTACATAACTTTTGTAGGTCATTACCAGTCTAATGGTAAGTGTTACGGCCTCTTTGATCTTTCATGAAGATCCGGACTTTTTGGATTGTATAATATTTGATTTGTTATTCTATATTCGGAGAATTTTGTTTTCTATATCACTTTTAATGTTATAATTATAAAAAATAAGTGTGAGACTGTTGTTTATTAAGTGATTTTAGTGGCATCGAGCTTTATATACGAGTTTCCATAAATACATAAAAGTAGGGTACATAATGGTATGAAGGTACAAACTAAAGAAGTCTAAAACTATGATTTTCATAGCATAAGAATTTGATATTAAAGGGAAATGCAGTGAGATATAAAACGAACCTGTAACAGACTACATTAATTGTGACTATTAGGGAGAATCTATGTTATTAATATTATAAAGAGAAAAGATTAGATTGATTGTTTGCATTAAATAGTCTTCGAAATAACTATTTATAATTAGGTAGGCTATAATTTAGGCGAGCCAAGAGTCATTTCATCCCAAAAAACTAGTAAAACTACTTACACATCATCCGTCAGATATTACAAATCATCGGGTATTCTCACGGAAAAAATTTTTGATTAATTTTAAAATAAACATATTCACGACAAAAAAATTGTGTCATAACTTTCGCTTTATTCCAAATATTGGTGTTACTCAACGTTTCTTTAGAAGCATGTAGGATATTATTATTCGCGACAAAGGTACACCAACTCATACATTATTCAAATGGACTTGTGAAAAAAAATTTGTACGCACAATGCAATTATGTCAACGCTCAAGGAATGTGTGTAAGTGTGCTAGAGGATTATGTGTCATTTCGTTCATATCGTTAATACGAAAATATGGTTGTTGCTGAAAATCACCTAAAAGTATATATATAAGCATAGGAAGGATTTGTCCTTTGTCGGCAACATTAGTGTACCATAGACTATCATTAAAGCAAACGGCTGGCAGACAGCATGTTTTAATAAAACATTCATTTCGTAAAAATTTTCCAACTCATTTGGCTGAATCCCGCACACGGACCGAAGCAGAGCTTAGCTAATCTCAGTTGTATGTTAAGTAGGTATGAGGGATTATTTGGACGAAATTAAGTCTACAAGTTGTCTTAACTTCGTTATTTTAGCTCTATCTCAAACATGTTATCTAAAGCTTCTTTGAGCTTCAGTAGATGTTAATTTATTAAATCAGGCTATATTTCCCATTTTCAACACCCAGAAATATGTAATCGACCCGTGCTGATGGCCTGTCCTTTCTCTCTACATCTATTTTTGCAGCAGTGAAGGTATTATTGTGGCTGATGATAATAAGGGTAATAGTTGGAGACGTTGAGAGAAACATACTCGTATGAACTAGGAATTCGAACAAGTATAAGTTTAGTCCATGCAAAGCCGGGACATAAAGTCTCAAATATATTTGCCTCATTTTTATAAACAAAAAAGACCAGGAAATATTTTGCTGGTGCTTAAATAACGGTACTTTACAGGTTTTCAAACCGCTCGTCTGGTTTGCGATATACATTGGTTCGCTGACCCCGGTGTTCAGTGTTTTGGCAATTCGATGCATTTTTTATCGCTAAAACGATTACAATATTAATACTGGATTTGTTTTTTCTAAGTTCGATAATAATTGAGAGAATTGTAGTAGCCTGTTATTAGCGCCGCTATCTATTTATAATCCATGTATTAACATACGTATTTAATTGTAATAATTGAAATATTTTTCATATCCTTACTTGTAGTAATTCTCTCAAAATTTTCAACTAAAACATAGAAAGCTACATTACCGAGGATATATTCATGATTCTGCATTCTATTAGACATTCTGTATTACTTTTGTAAAGTTTCTTATTTAGTAATGAAAAGCAGAATCACGATTATACCCTCAGTTCAGTAAGTAAGCCTCAATCAGTTTCATCTAGAAATCTATTAACCGGACGTTAGAACAACAAACAGACGTTTTCATCCATAATACTGCTAATTCATTTAACCAAGACACTGACATATTCATAAATATATTCGCTTTCCCTTCAATACAGATGTCAGGTTGTATTGGAAAACTGAAAGTGACCACGCTCAGCTCTCTCATAGTCATAATATACTTATGACTTGCTACTGGACACAACTTATATGATCTAATGTCAGTCAAGTAAGCAAAGTGTTACAACAAATATAGTTGAATGTTTCTTAAAGTAGGCATGTAAATTAACGTATACAGCAGTACACCGTACATAAAAAATAAAAAATAAAATCTGTAACCGATTTAAAACTGAAATAGTTCGGTGTCTGAAGGTCAATGCATACCTGACGGAAAATGCGTCGCGTATGATCGGCCCTATAGCTTCAAAACTGCTAAATATACAATCTTACAGACTAACAACCAGTTTCACAAACGTCCATTAAATTTATCATTAGTTTAAAGCGACATTACCTATTCAAATTTGACATCCATTAGAGCTTAAAGACGCCATTAAACCTTAATGGACGGTTGTGCAACTAACCGTAACTCACGCATACTTCTATTGATACACTCGACGAATCTTTCATCAGATGTACACGTTTTAGTGGAACGAGGATTTTCCGACCACTCTGCAGTGCTAAGTCCCTCATTCTTCAATAAAATAACAGCGACAACTTATAGAAATATATAAATATCGGCCAATTTATGGGAATATCCTTAAAATGAATTTGGCATTAGATTTGCCATTATTTTAAGATTGTTCGTGTTTATGATATTAACTTTGTTTTAATTCAAATATAAAATAACTCTATGTATTATTATTTCATATATAATCGGGTATCAAATAAAAACTATCATGGCGTAACCAACAGTTTATTGATAACAATGGGTTATAAATTAAGTTTTAATAAATTAATAAGTTGACTTGCATTGTACACATTAAATTAGATAAACAGTAATTAAATAATTATTATTATGCATATTTACATTATATTCAATGAGCACCATATTTCAACTATACTTTATTATATTAAGATAATAGGAAATAAATATGAGATCAGTCTTATTAGAAATTTGATATTATATACAATCAATTATATTTATAATAAATTATTATTTCATATAATATTATCAACAGTAATGTATAAATAAATTATGATCGGGAAACGTAAATGCCGTTATATTTACTTTATGTATAATTATGTACAATATTATATTAAATTTATGCATATATCATATAATAAATAAATATAATCTTTTATTTATATATTAAAGAAATAAATACAAATTGAGTACGTATATTAAATTTTAAAAACAATATCAAAAATATATATATAATATTATTTTGTACACATACTTTTGTATATTAAATAAATATATCAAATAAGAAAAAAATACATAGAATTTAAATAAACAGATACGGTTATATATAAAACCAAAATGTTACATATAATTATAACAAACATATAAATATATTAAAGCAAATTCCAAAGGCTCATTCTATTGTACACAATAAATAATAATTATAATTATAAAATACACCTACTTATAATTTTTCTGTTGGTATTGCTTTACAAAAATGTAAGTAAAAAAGTTTAAATATTATTTCAATGCAATTTTCATTAAGAATATAGGACAATCAAGTAAAGATATACTAAGAGTTAATTTACAATATCGATGATCCATTTGTCAAAGGCCCCTTTTTCGTTAATACGTCATAACAATTTCATAATACTGACCATATAATGCACTTTTATTATCCGCTTCCGCAACCATCTTTATCCCACCACAATATGTCGGTACTATGTCACTGTATATTGTAACACTTCTAGTAAATAACAGTTAGGAGAACATCAACTTATGTTCTATTATATTTCGTCATAAATTATTATTTATAAAATTGGTGGGTGATGTAGCTATTGGGGTTTGGCGTACGCGTTGTACGCCATGTCTTGGGCTTTGATTGACCTGGAATAAAATTAAATAATAGTTAATTAATATACAAAAAAAAAAAAAAAACAAAATTGTAGATATAATTTTCTCAAACAATTAGAAGTGACTCAGAATGTTATCATATAACTTCTCTTTAACACTGCAGCGTGCATGGTTCAAAATACTGAAAGATTACTTATAATTACATCTATCAGTCAATGTCATAAGATCATAGTACCTTTTGTATTACAAAGAAATATTAGACAACATCGCATACATTTCTCAGGTTCCAAGATGAGTAGCTAAATCCCTAGTTTTATGGAATATTTGGGACAATAAAGGAACCACAACATCCAAGACAATGTATATGTATATATTCATGACAATATTTTCTACATTGACCCGACCGGAAATTTATTGATACATGAATCAATAGAAAAATAAATCAAGCGACATTATAATTAACTGCTATTATCGATTAATAATGTTATAATCTCTATATTTTTGTAAATATAAGAATTTGCAAAGTGACTTTTTAAATATGACGATCATTTTAAGTTAATGTTGTTTGAACGGTTTGAACAGAATTTACTTAAGCCTTGTTTACAAAAGTCAAATAAAGAATTGCTCATTCACATTTTAAAGTAAGCCTCTAAAATATGAAAGATATTTCATGTTTTGGTGCATTTAGCATGCCATGTTTTCTCAAGGTCCGGATGTGGACGATTTCAAAGCGTTTGAGATCGACTTTCCCGACAAAGTCATGGGTACCAGACAGGTATTTAATCATGTTACTTTAATTGGTACTGCTAAGCAACGACTTGTGTGGGTAAAACATTCTAATTTGTCAGAACGTGGTGAAAAGAAAACCTTGTCAAGTTATGTTATGGAATTAAAGATTTCTTTTATGCTATTTCACGAAGCTATAGAAAGAAATAAATAATATTTCTACTGATTATCTCAAACAGTACAGAGGATGTTGTTATTTTATAATATTGGTTGTTTAGTTTGATATATAGGATACACCAGGCGAAACGCAGCGATGACAATTTTTTATCTCTTTGTAGAAGTAAAAAGAAGATCACAATTAAAAAAGACTATAGAACAGGTTCACGAAATCACACTCGATCACACATAATAATATTCAATACATTTAGAGAATTCTAAGAGATGCTTTGTGCTTTCCTGAAATTAGGAATAGGGATGTAATGATATATCGGAAAATCGACGAATCGAATATCAATAACTGGACGCCCAAATATATCGATATCAGAGAAGCAACGATATTGAGCAGCTCGATGGCGCAATTGCTAGCTTCTGCGATATGATTATTAAGCAACTGTCGCAAAGGCTGGTCATAGCATGGGTGACTAAAAATGTATTATATCGAACTCCTCCGTACTTCGGAGGCACGTTAAGCAGTAAGTATCGGCTGCATTCGTTAATACCCGCCAATCCGCACTGGGCTAGAGCGTGGTGGGTCTAGGCCCATTCTCCCTATTCTAATTACTACTACTAATTTTATTCGATTCAATTGAATTCCATCTATAGGGAAGGCCTGTGCTCCAGCAACAAATATTAATAGGCTGGTGATGATGAACAATATCGAAAATACCAACATACTCGTATTATAACCTAATGTCGAATGAAATCCAAAAAGTAAATGTATTTCCGCTGACCATATTTTAACGTCCAACGGCTGATCTAGTTCTAGAAGTTATATAATATTGTAATTAGTACTTTATTTCATAATACTGTGTTTTTCCTAATCCAATGCAAATCTATTTAAAATGGCAATGAGACATATTCCCATTGTAATCCATGCATTCTGAGCGCCTTTTTTCAAAAGCAGGAACCACCATTATACGAAGTGAGAACAGTAGACATATTGTCTAATTTAATAATCTATCGGAATCCCTTCAAAAATATGGCGATTGCGGCACTTCTATTTAGAAAAATAGCCACGGTAATCTATCCATTAATACTATTATAAACAAACCTGCTCCATCCAGAACCTCCATGAGCAGCAGACGAGACGACGACTTCATGTGCCTCGCCACCGCCAGCCGGTGATAACAGCTTCTTCAATCCGATGATACCAGCTAACACCAGAGCCAGCTTGGAAACGATAAGGGCTTTTCCAGCGAGCAAAGCTAATGCTCCGAAGGCTAGAGGAACCAGCATTCCTCCTATCAGCAGTGGGATGGCCAGGAGCGGAGCGAGCTTCTTCCTCTTGCTACGACCTTCTGTGCTTTGTAGGTCTGAACTGCTTGGGAATTTGACCTAGAATTTAAGATTTTCTATTTTAGAGTGCAAGATTATTAATTGAGTAGGTTCTATCATAAATAGATTTATATTATAGTACCCTAAATAAAATATAGATATACATTCTTTTAAATGCAAATGTAATGTATTCAAACATGACTCGATCATAAATACTCGTGCCACAATCATAAAAGATGCCTTTTATAAACGATAATTAAGAACGATAAACTAAATGAAAAGTAAATAACTATCTAATTATAATTAATATGACGTGAAAACGAATTTTAAAAAAGAGGTAATTACTGGTCATTCTTTGGTAACACGCAAGAGATACTATGAGCAAACATGAATCAGGAAAACAAAGTTTAATTTCCTAGTTTTCTTTCGCCTAATCCACGAATGTATTAGCTGTGCAATTTTTTAGGAAAGACAACACAGTATAAAAACCGTACCATACAATGCCAGACAAAGTTAATAACACCTTTGAACAAAACTGCAAAAAGTTTTCGGTATAGCTATCTATGCTGCATCTTAATCTAAATTTTAATGTATCAAAGACTGTCCAATAATTTAAATGTAGCAAGGTTAAACAAGGTAGAGTAAAATCTTACATTGCAGGAAGTCATTTATGTTAACTTTTGATCGTAATTCTTAGTAACAATATTGACGACTTCGGTAACCAAACTGACTAGTTAGTATTAGATTAGTTCAATTGAATATAATTCTTGTCATATATGTTATAACTTTTGGATAGAATGAGATAAACACTTGTTCAAAACGACATTTAAGATATATGTAAGTAGATATTATCTATCATTCGTCATTCGTCGGCGATATCCCTACTCATAGTGCACATGTTCTCTCTTTTATCTCAATCACACATGAAAAGCTGATCATGACTTATACATCATCATCATCATCATCGGTCCTTTTATGTCCCCACTGCAGGGGCTCAGGCCTTCCTTATGGATGGTTAAGGAGGATGAGCCATGACCCTCCACGCTGGCCCAATGTGGATTGGAGGGTATATACGACTGTAAATGCAGCCGAGGCCAACGGCTTAACGTGCCTTCCTAAGCACGGAGTAGCTCGAGATAATATTTTTTTTGTCACCCATCCAGTGGCCGACCCTTGCGAAAGTTGCTTAAGAACAACGATTGTGGTCCGCGGCGTTTATCTACTACACCACCGAGCTACTTACAATTTATTGTGAGGGTTTGAATAACTAATGCCCGTTATCACTAAATTTAGATGTCACCAAAAGGTGTGGCCATAATATTTAGGAATTGCCTAAGGTGAAAATGCATTTCACCAAGGACTAGGAACTACCTAACAACATTAAGTAATGTGTACTAGTCATCTGCTTAGGTGTTTCGTAATATTAGGTCAAGCTAAGCTATGCCATGTTCTATTTTTATGAAAACGGGTGTTAATATTTCTTTCGAGTATCAATACAAAATAAGCAAAATCATTATTTCTGTTCTTCAACATTAAATTATTGACTTTTAAAGAATCTTTCTGAAACTCTGAGATCTGAAGCTAAACGTGATGCGCTGCGTAATCGAATTCCTGTATCTATATAATATATTGTATTTTTTTACAAAAAAGATAATTACTATTTTACAAAAAATCAAAAGATAAATACAAAAAAAGCAATTTTATAAAAAGTTTCGTATTCTCTAGACACGAAAACACTAATTAACAAATCAACATAGGCGTAAGCAATTATCCAAAGAAACTGTTAGCAAGTAGGCTGGACTGAGAAAACTGTTTAATAGACTGTAACTTGTAAAAAAAGTGAAGAAGAATTAATTACATGCAATTACAAAGATGCACAATAGAAAGCGGTCACGCTGCGTCGGCGCATGGTATGTGCCAGTTTTTTTTTTCGATACACGCCGCAGTTAGTTTTATTTATAGATTTTAATGTTTTTTTTTTATTTAATTAAATCCATCGTAATTGATTTACCATAAAATTCTAGAGGTGTAAACAATATATCGTTATAAAACTTTTTTCTAATAACAATTACGCTTTATATAAAATGCGTTACCATGTCTAAGTATGTAAAATTAAAACTGGCTGGTCACGTTTTATAAAAATAAGCATAGCTTCAGCTCGGGATTAGTTTCCGTTATAGGACCACCAAAAGTCAACAGAATGAAAATCGACGAATGGGAAGCGACGCGTGCAAACCTTAACTATAACGAGTTTACAATTTTGGTGCTAATTGCACGTATGATCTGTAAGGATATCAATTAGATAATTTGATGACAAGTAAAAGAATAACTGAAACTCCAATTATTCTGGGGAATTGAACATGCTTTTACTTCTAAGATAGGTAATTTTTATCAGAAAATACTGGACCATGATTTACAGGAAGATAATCAACAACATCACACGTAGCCTTCATCAACGTCTTCAGAAGACAGAACATGGTTTTCTTCAGGTTCATAATATTTAATTAATATTCTATACTTAAATTATATTTATCATACCATTTATCTACGTATAAAACTATTGTGTTTATTTATAATGATGGTGTATCACAGTGATAAAACAAATTCATAAAATAAGCACCATATAAATATTTTACAAAAATCCTTTTTTTAATAAATTCAGCCCAAGTTTTACCACATAACCATGTGGCTGGTTTAGTTTATGAACAATCAAAATTTCTCAATATTCTCAATTATAAAGATAAAGCACTTTTCGTAGAATTGAAACGTGAAAATAATCTCTAATAATATGCGCTAGTGAGCGGTAAGAATAAGAATAGTCAGAAAACAGAAAAAACCAGCAGAGGGCGAGAGCATAATTTTGATAATTTTGTGTACAGGCTCGTGTTTACTCCCACCAACTATTATGGTGTATATATTGTCACTCTGATAAACAAATGACAAGAGAGATTGAGAGTAAAAGAGAGACAAAGAGAGAGTGGATACATTTAACTATCTATCTACATCAGATCCGTTGCGATGAACGAAGATCGAGCGGTAGTTAGTGTCTTCTCAAGAAGGGGTCCGATAACTGCTCCAATTTAAAAAAATCAGAGCAGTTAAAATGTTTTTTATTATTATTTTGTATTGGGAAACATTGACTACTTTATTCAGACAAAACTTTAGTCGAAGGAATAAATAATTGCATGAACAATTTTAAAGTTTTCATATAAAAGTTAATTATTATTCAGGGAGATTGCAATATAAACTCACACAAATTCACACTTTATCCATCAAACTATAATTATCCATTTAAGTGCAATTATGTAAGTCATATCAAATCATTACCCCTAAAATTTAATAATGTGCTATGAATATTAACTTTGATTCTTGTTTGATAAGCTTCACTTTATTATGTTATTAAAATTTTCATATAAAATGTATGAATTTTTATAAGACTTGTTTTTTTATATCATCAACTGTTCCATAAAGACACTTTTCGGTGCTGGTATTTACTTTTTATTGATTTTACAAAAGCAGTACAAAAGCAAATTGAGTTTACAAAAGCATTTTTTGTCGAACTTACAGTTCGACAAAAAATTTTGTAAATCTATCATTGAAAAATCAATTTTGGTATATATCTAACCGTGTATTTATCGAAATCTATACCATTACTTTTTTTGCAATTCCATTGCCAAAAGATTTGACCAAAGGCCTATGTTCACGACCATTCATCTGTACATGTATTCCTCAATCGCATGGGCTATTCTAGGGATATATGATTAATACACAGTCTCTAGTCACTATCATAACCACAGCATCTATTTATGCAAACGCTTAATATGCCACCACCACCAGCCCTTTTACGTCCCCACTGCAGGGGCTCAGGCCTTCCTTATGGATAGTCTTAATATGCAAACATAAGTAATTTGACCATTTTTTGCTGAGGGACTACTAATATGTAAAGGAGAGAGTGAAAATCTGGTTACACTAGTAAGTCGGGTATCACTTTTCTTATTTCATTATGTAAATTAAGCGTTACGTTATGTTTGTCCATAATTTTAAAATCCTGTTTCAGTCTCTCGGTCTCCCTTATAAAAGAATTCAAAATCGTTTTTCTACAAATTCAAAGTATTAATAATAGCTGTTAAATAATTCATATTTTCCTACTAGCATTCACACAGTACTTCTTTTACCTGTGATGATGAATGAGCGTAAGAAACTTCGAAATATTTTGAAAACCTTTGTAGCACTTATACTATAGCAATCAATCGATGCTGTTTACAAAGCAGGCGTAGCCGTATACGTCAAACCATAAACAACTTCAGAAACTATGATGTACTGCTGAAACATACATATATTCAATACTTTTTATGGATGATCTAAATTATTATCTTAATCGAGCATTTATATAATGTTACCATTATAATATTAACCTATTTCATAATAGAGAGAAGAAATAAGTGAGACTCTACCAGTCTTTAACAGCTACTTACAAACAAACGCATTCTAGGTTCATATCATCACGTTTGTAATTTCACTTATCATTGTTAAGTTTACGAGCTCTTATCTCTATGTAAATTTTACCATTTTCATTGTTTTTACTTTAATTATTCAAGTAAGAAGTAGTGTTTTCCAATTCAAGTTCTGTTTTTACAATAATTGTTGTAGATTTACCTCTTAAGATGGCAATGACGAAAAAATATGTAGATTTTATAGTTATATCGTCTAAATCTTTCCTAAAAATCTAACAAAATATCTCAACAACTGTTTCAATATCATTTTAGATCATTGTATTAGGTTTTTGGCATACTCATGTGATTTTTTAATTATCATCAAAATAATAATGATAGCTCACCATTAAATGTAACCCATACAAGAAATCTGAAAAGGAGTAAAAACAAAAAACTATGTAGACAAGTAGTATTATCACCAAGATCACTTACCTGGATTGTATGAGTCTGCATGAATCCAATGATCTTGTCCAAGATAAGGTTGTCCAGTGAGCTCTCATCAAGACCTCTCGGAATCGCCTCCTCAACTTCCACGTCATTGACCTTCGCATCCTTATCTTTAGAAATTGTCACTCCACCAAGTAGTGACACTTCGTCTTTCTGCGAAATCTTATTAAGGGCTTTCGCTAATTTTCTTTTAAGACAGCTTGATAAATCGCTGCCACTGCAATCTTTGTACGTCTCATACGCAACTTTAAGATCACCTAAAACGACGTCTTCTGTACTCCTGGCTTCTTCAATTGTGTTTTTATTAGTGGATGCCGTTCTCGCGCTGGCGGCTACTGCCAGGGTTAGTAATATGAGGTAGTGTGATACCATCATGACGCTGTTTGCACGCCGTTGGCAATGTGGCCACTGTGTATAAATCTAGAGCACTGTTAGCGTTTATATGCGTTAAGTTTCACGGTACAGTGGACCTTCTGAGAGGGATGCATCGATGCATTTATGCAGTCAGCTGTACAGGTAGACAAAAAAGGTTTTACTTCAAAAATTACGTAAAGATCAATTGAAAATAAATTGTCATTTCATAGCTCATATACTCAGTGTATAGGTGTAGCAAAAATATGATTGCTCCTTTGAAGACATGTTCATTCTAATACTTTATATGTAAGTTATCATTTAACATAATATTTATGAGATGTAAGTATTGTATCATGCATAGTAAAGTAGTCATGCGTATTAAAAATAATCTATATGAACATAAACATAACTAAAGCACCATTTGGCATAGTTTATAATAAATGAGTTTTAACAATGAGTACATACACGAATAACCTGTGTTCACAATACGCACTCAGAACTAACTATACTACACCCCTGTGGTACTGTATAAAGACTTATCCACGTTTATCACTTAGATATGATTTTTTTCTCTTTGAAATCTGTTATTTCAACTTAATTTTATCTATTTACCAATAAATATTCGTATTATTTACAAAATTATAGATGTCTATATTTTTAAACAAAATTTTTTTTAGAAAACATTTTTGTTTCCAACTGTACTAAGTGCAATGTTTGTACGGTATTGCACTGAAACTTACGCAGTTCAGTGTTTTTCAAAACTTTATTTGGATAAAGTGGTTTTAATTTTTTTATAATTTGAGTTATGCTAGTTTTTTTCATTAATAGGTTGTCATAACATTTACATAAAATTATGCTTTAATTTTCGATCTCTTAAAAAATTCATTTCATTATCCCTCTTTCCCATATTAGCTATTCCTACGACTTTGCTCATATAAATTATACCCATATTACTTGCGTATAACTAAAAATTCATTTACGTAAAGGTAGCTAACCTTTACGTAAATGAATTTTTAAAATAGTTCGGTAGTTCCGGGTTCTATTCAATGCAAACAAACAAATAATCAAATATTTCCTCTTTATAGTAGTAGTGTAGATTTATTTTATTCTTCAATAAAATTGCTCATAAGCAAGTGCGTAATCTTAGATTTTATATTTTTAAACGAAGCTATATTAATATGTAATTATTATCAAAACAAGTTGCTTTAGCGGGCATCTGAAGTTTTGTGTCGCTTTTTTGCTTTGAATCTATCATCAAATAGTGCAGAGTCATTATTAGTGTGAACCAAAATAGTTTCATCAAACGCCTTGATTGGTGTGAATAAACTTACTAACAATTGTTACTACAATCGACGCTTATGTCATCATATGAGCCCAATATATTTAATTTTCAATATGTTCTAATGAATCAAAAAAAGTCCTGAATAAGTAGAAGTAAAAAATCTTGGATGAATATCCGACAGTTGCACAAACGTTCGTTAAGCTTTAGTGATGCCGTTAAGCTCTAATAAATGTCAAATTTGAATCAATAATGTCGCTTTAAACTAATGAATAATTTTAATGGATTTTAATGGACCTTTACGCAACTAGCTGTAAGCCTATCAAAGTTGTTGAGAAGAGATGAAGAAGAGTGACA